GGGGACAACACCAAAGCTGCGGTCATCCGCCTGGGCCTCATGGAGATGATCGCCTTCGCCAGGATCTTCTGCAAGGGCCAGGTGTCCACCGCCACCTTCCTGGAGAGCTGCGGCGTGGCCGACCTCATCACCACCTGCTACGGAGGCCGCAACCGCAGGGTGGCCGAGGCCTTCGCCAGGACCGGAAAGGTAGGTGCCCTCCTCACTGCCCTCCCCGGGCCTCTCCAGGCTCCCGGGTGGGTGTGCGCACGGACCAGGGGGATGGACAGGGCGGCTGTGGCCTGCTAGTGTGGTTCTTTCTGTACCCCAAAGCTCTGGACTCCTGTGTCCTGTGTCCTGGGCTCGTCTGTGTTCGGCCTGCTGCAGGACCTCACCCTTCTCCTGCCCCACGTGCAGGAGACTGATCCTCTCCTCACGAATAGAAGGGTTTCTCCAGCCTTTCTCTCATAACTCCCACAACTTTTGTTTATAAGACCATTGAAGAGCTGGAGAAAGAGATGCTGAATGGGCAGAAGCTCCAGGGACCACAGACGTCCGCTGAAGTGTACCGCATCCTCAAGCAGAAGGGAATGGTGGACAAGTAAGTCCCCCCACCACCCAGACCAAGACATGCCCACCCTCCCCGCCCTCTCCGGTGCCAGCCCCCACCAGGTGTGCTGGGACCCTTGGTGTGAACCTCCACGGCAGTAAACACCTGGCCTATGAAGGTGGGTGTCTGCCCAGAGAGCAGGCCCGGTTCAGCTTCGGAAGGTCCAGGGTGGGGACTCTGGCTCATTCGGAGAGAGCTGCATTCCATGGGTGGCTAAATTGTAAGCAATGCGTGCCTGGCTGTGTCTGTAAAAAGTTACAACCCTGTTCACCAAATGGTTCACGGTTCCGCAAAAGAGGACAAGTGACCCCAGCTCCTGCCGTCAGGAGTGACCTGTGTTGACACTTAGTGGGCATGTGTGTGGATGGACACAAAGCACACTTGTTTGGGTCCCTTTTAGACCTCAGGATTGTTTCTGGAGTCCCTGTGTGAACCACATGGTTAATGCGCTAGGCAGTTGCTAACTAGCAGTTCAAGTTTAGTCGGAGCTTCTCAGAAGAAAGGGCTGGCAGTCTATTTCTAAAAAGGCTACACCAGAGCCCCCAATAAAATGTTCTTAAAAATATAATAGAAAGGCTAACCCTAAGAAACCCACCTCATTGCCATCGGTGCCGACTCATGGGGGCCTATAGGACAGCGTCGAACTGCCCGGTGAGCTGCTCTCTACGGGAGAAGAAAGCCCCTTTTTCTCATGTGGAGCAGCTGGTGGTTTCAAACTGCTGACTTTGGGGTTAGCTGCCCAGCACATAACCACTACGCCTCCCAGGCACCTTCTGAAAAGCTAGGGAGCTCGGCTTCCTCTGACACACATGGGGTCATGTGAGTCCGGTCGTTGCCACAGTAACCGGTCGGCGCCACAGTAACTGGTTACTGTTTCAGCTGCTGCCTGGACCCCATTGCCTTCCCAGGTGGTCACGTGCTGCAGGTGGGGTTGGTCTGTGTGGCTTGAAAGTGCCCCCCCATAACACCACAAAAGCTGCCCGGCCTCTCTGAGGCTGTTCCCCAGCCCCACTTGCCCTGCACCTCTTTATGTTTCTCACCATCACGGCATCTTCTGGTAGATGCCCTCAGTGCCCCCATAATCCTTGAGAGGGACAGTGGGGTAGCCTGGGAAAGCAGGGAGCCGAACACTGGGCTGGATGAATGCTCTTCTCCCAGAGCTGGTTGGCGGGTTACAGGCAGTATCTGCCGTGAGTCGCCTCTGGCCCAGTCCCCTTCCTCCTTCTTGGGCCAGTCCAGTTGTCCGCTTGGCCAGCTGGTGCCTCTCCCTGTAGCGCAGCTCAGCCCTCGTTTCCCCGGTGTGAATTTAAGCAGTTATAGATTTCCATGTTGAAAGTTGGAAATGGAGGTGGACAGGGTGAGATAGTTTATTGTGCCAGCCTGGCCGATAAACACAAGTGGGATTAACTGAAGGGCAGAGAGATAAATGGCTCGGTGAGCCTCGTCTTTC